GTCAGCCTCTCTGCTCCTATGATGCTGCTTGGCCTGCTGTGTTCATCCAGGCCTGCACCTTGTTGTCTCTGCAAAATGTTTGCCCACTCACTTAAACTATACATATCGTTTTGCAGATTCTCCGTCTCCTCTCAACTCTTCCTTACTTTCCTACACAACTTGCTTTCATCTGGAAACTAAGCTACCAAACATTTTGTCCCTTCCTCCAAGTCATTGACATGTAAATATTGAGGCTCTGTGGCACTCCACCAGTTACAACACAAAAATAAGCTACTTGTCCCTACTTTCTACTTGTTGGGTAATAAGCTAACCAATCGCTTATCTGTGTTAATATGTTAATAACCTGACAGCGTGAGTGATTATTGTGTGCAACAATGTTTGATGTGGCGCCTCAGATTCCTTTTGGAAAATCAAGTATATCAAATCTTTACGTTCCAGTTCTGAAGAAAAAAAAAATCACTGACCTGAAATATCAGTCTGCAGTTTCTCTCTCCACAGATGGTGCCCAAGGAGATCCAGCACTTTGTTTATTCTCAATTAGTCGGATTTGCATTCCGAAAAGATTAAATCACAGTATTCAATAAAACGGGTCTATTCTTTGAATTTTAATTTTTAAAAAAAGGGAAAGATAAAGAAGGAGCAGCTGGAGAGAAACAAATGTTTCTCCACTGTCTAAATCTTTCATATTCATGGTTTCTCCTGAATTAGGATGAAATGCAAGAGGTACTGACAACACCTCAATTATTTTTACATTTCCTTTTCAAAAAAAGATCCTAACACCAAGTTACTTCCAAAAATCTCATGATGGTGCAACTTTAAAAATTAATATTTGATAATTTTTTGAAGTTACTGCTCTTCAATTAGCAACACATGGCGCTAACAAATTTCCATTCCACTGCCAAGGAAAGGAATTGGTCAAGACTGCGAGCTCAACTTTCAGACGTTACACGGTTGGGTTAGGGTTAGAGTCACTACTATCCAGGCACTGGGCCTTATTATTGAGGCTAGCTACAAGCAGGCATGGTTATGTCTCCCCACACACTGGCCAGCCAATTTAGCACGAGGATTTTCCATTCCCAGCCCAGCCCGGGGTGATGGGGAGGGGTTCGCAAATCAACTAGCTGGAGGAGGGATGCCAGCCTTGGGCCAAGGGACCAGCACCTCGAACAGGCCTACAGGCCCTCCCATGACTGTCTGCCAGGGTATGTTGAAGCACCCGCACAGATACCTGCCCTCTACAGCAGTCAGGGGCTCTGCTGAAGCTAGAAGACATCTGCATGGCTTTAGAGCTCTGACAACTCACTTTCAAATTCATGTGCGGGATGTGGGTGTCACTGGCTGAGCCCGCATTTATTACCCATCCCTAATTGCCTTGAGAAAGGCGTTGGCGAGCTGCCTTCTTGTACCAAGATCTTGGGGTGTCAGAAGTGACACTTGGAATTTGACAGGGAGCCCATCTCCATGCCATACTAGAGGCAAACTCTGTGGAAATCTAAAAATGTAACCATTTTCCACCAGGGACAGGTTTGGGAACTCAGAAATAGATCCTATCCTCAAGCAAAAAAAATGCAACAACACGCTTTAAAACTCAATTTTAATAACTTAGAAAAAAATCTCGATATCTTTAGAGGTAGAAACTAACTTTAATATGAAAACATGGGATATCATGTTTGCATCCTGCACACCTGCCATCAGCCAGTAAGCTACATTTAATTTTTGGAAGGTAGTTTTTTAAAAAAAAAATCTTTACTCCAACAAAAACTTTATAATCCTTCTCAACAAAAATGTTTCACGAGATATCTCAGATATTGACTAACTTGATTATGAAAACATGGGATATCACCTCTGTTTGCATCCCAGTATTCAGAATGAAGAATAAGACACAATATAAAATGATTGCAATTTTCACCACTGGGTTCATTTCCAATGATTGGTGATGGACTGCTAATACAGGTATGTGCAGTCTTGGAGAAAGTCTATGTGCTCCACATTGACTACATTACCTACCATCCAATATGACACATCACATTCTTAATATTGTTATCAAACATCATCTTTCTGAGTTGCCCCTAGTTTATTATCTTGTTAATATATTAAGTGATTTCATGTTCAGTTGAAGAATTTAAATTTTTCCTCAACCAATAGTGTTAAACTAAAGTTGAACTAACAAATAGAAGAAATAGCGATTTCACGATAATGTTGGGAGTACAAATCTTTAGTTGATGAACCAAAGACAGACCTGAAGTAATTTCTCCTCTTCCAAATAATGTTTGTACATTCTTAGAATCAGCTGAGATATGAAACTTCCTTCCAATTTCTAACAATGGTTTGTGAAGGTCAGACTGGATTAAGGGCAAAGAGAAAACAAATCACAGTCTCCAATGGAAGTTTCACACCGTGGTGGTTGGAATACATCCCTCAGGTTCTAGGTTCAAATCCCACTCCTGGGCTTGACGGCCAAGAAAGGCCTGTTCATAACACAGGCCAACAGGTTGATTGTCAGCCTCCAAGTCCTCCCAACACACACACACACACACTTCTGACTCCCTGAGTGAAGTGTAATGTAACACCATCACCATCGTACTGGAAATGAGCACAGCTACTTAATGGCTCATGCAACGAAGTATAAGTGTCTATATCTCCATGAATGAAGACCAGAGAACTAGATGACTCAATTTTGGAGGGGCTAAGAAATGATATTTAAAAAGTCTAAGGCTACTTGAAAAGGTAATTCCAGAATGTTGATCACATGAAGTTGCAAATAGGTCACAGAGACCAGAGTTCAAACAGGCAAAATAACACACCTGTCATCGGCTAGTGAGCTGCATTTAATTTTTGGAATTTTTTTTTTAGAAAATCTGTTACTCCAACAGAAACTTAACAATCCTTTCCAACAGAAAGGTTTCATGAGATATTGAGTTGGTAATGAAGAAGTCTTCTGTATTGTACCAACACAGAAGTATGTTTAATGATCAGGGCAAGATAGCTACGCCACATCTCTGGGCGACAGCTATTGTCTGGGACCTACGTGGCACCATTGTTATGCCACTTGCTAGCCCAAGCTCCAGAATTGCCTACTGCATACTGTAGATGATCTATTCCTACTTCATTATTGGAAGACCTGCCAAGTTTCTCCAAGATTTACAGCATCCACAGCACTTTGCTTTTAAGTTATTAAGAAAGTTGACCATTTTGTACAGAGTTGAAAATGTCACGGTTTTAACCACTCAGTATTTGCCATCAACAGCGAGGAAGCTGCAGGAGGTTTGATGGTTTCAACTGCACGATGAAGAATGTGTGCAAATTCACACTAACTGCCTTGACAACAGAATACAGCATGTCCCCGGTAAAGCACCCCCCCGCGCCCCAACACCTCATGCAGCAATATTTTGAACAATGTAACCACATCAGCATTAGTGGTGACCTCTTGGTCTAGGATGGGAAGTTGGTGATACCAATGATCTTTCCATTAGGGCATCCCACAGGAGGTTCACCAGCGACCCCTTGGTATTTCTAAGGGTTGGGTCAGGGTGCATCAATGCATTTGGTGGCCAGGTATCTCATATCTTCAAGAGGATGAACTCCAACTGTGCTGACAGATGGGAGCAGAACAAAATATTTCTATCCTCTTCCTTTCCAGCCAAGCCATGGTACTGACCTACTGAAAACAAGGGAAAAGTCTCTCTCATCCTTATGGATTATTACTTCTGCTGGATTGAGGTCCAGAAGCTAATTGCTCAGCTCCGAGGCCAATAAAACCTCTTGGAAGACGATATTTTCCACACGTGCGCTCCTGAAAATTGTCTTCTATGACAATGGGCCACACTTCACCAGTGAATGTTTCTAATCCTTGCCAGCCTCATATGGATTTGCCTATGTCACAAATTCACAAAGATACCCTCAGGCCATCAGTGAATCTGAGGGAGAGATACTATTAAAGACCTTCTGAGAAAGAATGAGGATTTCACTGAGTTGTACTTAACGAACACTGTATATAAGCTTACAGAAGAGCGTCCCCCCTTTACCATCTATTGATAGATCACAGGTTGTTAACTTAAACTCCCTGCCTTTCCC